TTGTATGGGTGTTTTCGTATGTGCATGTTTGTAAAATAATGGGCCCGGGATGTATGCGTGTGAATGTTTGTGTATGTAATACTATGTATGTATGTGTGTGACGTAATTTTGCATATAATTATGTATCCCGGACATAGATATCATATACAATATATCTATGATCCCGGCCCGCCTTGATTAGCATTGCTATTTGCGGGCCGGATGTGCGTATCTTTTTCATTGTTTTTATATTTATTAATTAATGAATAATAAAAGTCACGTAATTATAATAAAAGTTACAAGTTAATTTCTGTAGCAAAAATGTTATGATCAATGCAGAGTGATCAATGGTATCAAAAGCCTTTTTCAGATCTATGAATAAGATAGCATTAATTAGCCCACTTGTGTACCATTTATAAAGTTGAATGAAGGCAGGGCCGTAGCGAGGGGGGGGGAGGTATGGGTGGTGGGGTTTTTTAGAATTATCATATTCGGAAAATCAGGTTGGCCATTCGGAAAATTACGGTAATAATAGTATAACAAAATTTTAGTTGTTAAACAGAGAAAATATAATATTATTGTATTGTCAGTATACTGACTGATTTATGAAGTCATGGCATTTACATGGATAGCAATTAACAAATCGTGAATCGGTAAGTGTTTTTCAGTTTATCACATCCAGGGCCGTAGGAAGCTCTTTTCGATTGGGGGGGGGGGACTGAAAGGGAGGGCCGAAGGTCCGAGGAAATTTTTAAATTTAGAGTCTCTGAAATGCCATTTCCTGGACTTTGGGGAAGATTTGACAGAAATCTGATAGTCAGAAAACAGCGTTTTAGTATGTAGAAATTTACAATTTTGTAGTACTAAATGGCCGAAGGCGTATTTAATTAACTATATATTGAATAAGTTGCAGGAAAGTGTGGGTAATACCTTCATTCTTTGCAGTTTGTCACGGATTGAATGATAAAGGTCTGCATGATTTTGAAAAAAGGATGATTATTAGCAAATTATTGGGGTGGGGGGCGGGCGGTTGCTACGGCCCTGACATCTCAGGGCTGTAGCAACCCGGGGGGGGGGGTAATTAAATACGCCTTCACCCATTTAGTGCTAAAATTGTAAGCAAATCGTAAATTTCGACATAATAAAACGCTGTTTTATGACCATCAGAATTCTGCCAAAAACTTCCCCAAAGTCCAGAAAATGGCATTTCAGAGACTTAAAAATTTCCTCGGGCCTTCGGCCCTGCTCAACCCCAATTAAAGTTTTCTACGTACTACATCTTCTGTAATATGTCTGTGTGCGTAAAATATGCATATTTTTGTTTGTCATTGCGTCTTCATTTTCCGGATGCCACCTTCGTGGCTTCATGTGTCTTGAAATATTCAAGGAATTTTGGCCTACCTTCTCTCCCACTGACATACATTCTAGCTACGGCCCTGAATGAAGGGGTCTAAATTGTGACTGCATCTATGTCAGATAAAAGATTGTTTTTGTTTAAAAAGCATATGCTTGCATGGTCAAAAACAACCTTTTCAAAAATTTTTGCAACTACAGGGAGGACTGAAATATGCCTATAATTATTAAGATCTAGTTTTGAATCATGCTTATAAATTGCTAATACCCTGGCACACTTCCAGTCAACAGGAACAATTCCCTTAAGAATTACTAGCATAGATATCTTATATACACTAGATAGCGCATCTCTTTTACTAAAATTGAAGCCAAGAATATTCCAGCGGTTACACTCATTTGAATAGATGGCGGCCATGTTGGTCGTTCCAACTTGCTAATAAACACTTAAAAACAACAATAACTTTCATCATTTGAATAGTTTAAAAACATATTTGGAATAGGGTTAACTTAATGTTTAAGTCCCCTGTTGAAGAAATAGAAAACATACGAATCTTCTCATTTCATGGGAACGACCTGAGACTGCAATCATGGCTTCAATTTTTGAATTGCAGAATAATTAGATGCACTATCTAGTGTATATAAGATATCTATGATTACTAGATTGATTATTTGAGTAAGTGAAACGACAGCAGTGAGATTAATTAGTTTTAATAAACGGACAGGAATGTTGTCAAGACCACTAGCCTTGGAGGTCGATAATTTATAAATTAATCCACATATTTGGGATGGGGTAACTTCATGTAATTCAAAAACTTCATTACATTGTGGAATGTTAAAAGAAACCGCACCAGTTGTTGGAATTTGCGCTGCTAACTTAGGTCCGATTTCAGTAAAGTGTTCAAAAACATTGCTATTAATAGCTACTGCATGGGTCAGTAATTTCGGTTCCGTCTTGCAAAATTTTTGGTGAACTAGTTGAATATTTAGGTTTAGAAAGAAGACTATTGACACCATTCCAAGTTTCCTTAGTCCGGCCTGTGTTGTTAATTTTGGGGAAGCCTCGCATATCGATTTTGTCCATGAGAAACGTCATATGTTCGTTTCTCTGGAGACACCCCCTCCCCACCCCCCTTAGAAACGTCACACATAGTTATCGATATTTTGTTCTTTAATATAGTACACATAAGGTAATTTTCTACTATTTTCTACGGTCGGCTATTGGCGATGCTTCCGTGAGGAAATTTCGAACGCTTCTCAAAACAACTTTTTTTGCATGAAATATTGATAATTTTAGCGCGTTTTTTTTTAAACTTGAGTCTTTTAATGCAAGCCAGGCGTAATAATATAAATGTATACTCGTAAATAGAACAGGTATAGTATTACGAATGTAATTTTTTTATTCTGCATAGATGATTCCGAAATGTCAAGGCTTTCGAAAAAACTATCGAATTTTTCCATGATGTTTACTGAGAAACGTCACAGCTGCAACCTCCCTCCCCCCCAAACGAACATATGACGTTTCTCGTGGAAAAAATCGATATGTGAGGCTTCCCTTGGAACAAAGAGTTATAATATTGATTTTTGCTATCTCTAATTTTGTAGTTAAGGTTACAGAACACCTTTGAGTGTTAATTTTGCCTAAAATTTTTTTATTGGTTCCATGAAAGCATTAGACTAGTTCTACTATCTGACCAAGTTTGAACGAAAAATGTTGAAAACTCGCAGAGTTATTTAGTAAAATACATTTCGCTGCAATAAGAAAAACATTGAAAATGTAATATTCAAATTCAATTTTCTCCCGAAAACTTTTACGGTAACTGATTTTCAAACGAGTTGTGCTCCTGCGGGTTTTAACCAATTTTTTTCAAATTTTCACAGGACATAGCTAAAGACGTCAGTTTCAAAATTGTGTTCGGCTTTTCTTTAATTTTGGATATTTTAAAAATAAAGAGCAATTCACTCAAACAATTCAGAAATATATTGCAGTCGTCAAAGAAATCGCCATATCAGCGGAATGACGAAATAAACAAAAAATTCCGAACACAATTTTTTAGAACAACTATTTTACTGTATAAAAATGATATTTTCATAAATATAACTTAAAACCAGCAGGAGCACAACTCAAAAGCGTAACAGTACCGCGATTTTCCTGAATAATTCTTACATTATTTTATTGTTTGTTAATTTTACAACTTTACCATATTTTGCATGCACTGAAGAACATTTGGTGAAAATTTGATGAAAATCGGACTGATATTGAGCGCGCAGCAGCGATTTTCCGCAAAACGCCAAAAAGGGTGTCCTGTAACCTTAACTAAGTTCTTTAGTGGACCTCTTTCCCGTATTAATTTCTTGATTTCAACAGAGAACCATATGGGGCACAAGTTTTCCTTATTCTTCTTTGTTTCACTGGAGAATGCTTATCCACAACTTCAAGAAACAGATTTTTCCAAATTTGCTAAGGAAACTATGTACTGTCATGTAATAGAATCAATGTCATGCTTAAATGAAGCTTGATCAAATTTTTTATAACTGCGGGATTGAATAGTGATAGGCTTTGATTTAACACTAGAGTGTTTTCTGATAGCGTAAGTTAAAAATATGATTTTCATGTTACCAAAGCAACTACTGTTATTTCCGATCATGAATGAAATACTTCATGTTGAAACAATATTTTAGAATTATAGTTCCTCTGTTAAGAGCTAGGGGTTGGTGCATGCATGTATTTCCAGTAACAATTTGAACAGATCACATGGTAAAGAGCCCAGACAGCTAATTCGGTTATAGGGGGTATGGGCTCTGTACCATGTGATCTGTTCATAACTGATTGGGTTATATTTCCAAATTCCAAATCGTCGCCAGTGAAATACTCATTATCTGCTGTTGTTGTCGACTCGCAAACCACGCCTCAGTAGGGAAAAATCAGACGGTAAATTTTGGCGCGCTTGCCAATGTCCGTCTCTCCGTATAGTACTTATTTCTCATATTTTCGTGCCTTTTTTTACCGCTCACGTACATCGCTGTTTTCAACCCCTTTAGAGACGGACTTGACAACTTGTTGAATTGAACTGGTCCTAAAGCAAGTGGTTAGCTCTTGCCAAATGCGATTCAGATGGCAGCGCTCTCAATATACAGAAGGGCCGCAGGTAGTTCGATCCCTGCCGGAGGATCCTAGTCTTTCATTAGCACTACTATATGTGCCTCAGAGATGAAATAATCATTGGAATCTCAGACTGGTTTAGACAGGCCTTGAAAAATCAACTGCGCGAAATTTTACTGCACCAAATCATAGATATCTTATAATACACTAGATAGTGCATCTAATTATTCTGCAATTCAAAAATCGAAGCCGTGATTGCAGACTCAGGATATTCCCATGAAATGAGAAGACTCGTATGTTTTCTATTTCTTAAACAGGGAACTTAAACATTAAGTTAAACCTATTCCAAATACATTTTCAAACTATCCAAATGATGAAAGTTATTGTTGTTTTTTAAGCGTTTATTAGCGAGTGGGAAACTCCAACATAGGCCGCCATCTATTCAAATGGGGGTAACCGCTGGAATATTCTTGGCTTCAATTTTACTAAAAGAGATGCGCTATCTAGTGTATATATAAGATATCTATGCACCAAATGCGAATCCGGTCGTTAAAAACACAAGTATGAATTTTGACACGCTGTGATGAACACAATTTTATTAAGTTGTGTGATGTCAACTACAGTGCTTTAAAATGCTAAATTCTTTACGATATGTGTGAACTACTCAATATGTTCTGTACATTTGTTGTTCATAGACAATTCAGTGTCTCTTGAAAACACGATGACTTAATTTATTTATGGTTATAAAGGAAATATTGAAGCTGTTACACACTATATGTTTGTTGGATTAAATTCTTTATATGTAATTTATCCATTAGATGCAGTTCCGTTTATCAATAACCCACAACTTTTAATTCCTTAAACCCAACTTTGTTCCTGAAACCATTACCTCTAATATTTAATTTGCAAGAATATAGTACGAAATTCTTTCCACGCATAATAATGTCTCAAATATTACAATAACAATTTTGACCCAAATATATGTCTTGATGTGGCATAACCGGTTTAATACCAATAACCAAAGAATGGATGTTAAAGCTAATCCGGCCTGGCAAACACTCGTTAGTGATAGAACATGTTAAGCCGCACAGATGCTGAAATTGTGCACTATTTAATAAAGCTTAATAAGAGCATGAACACTGCCAGCTTTTTGTAGGTTACTAAATTGAGATAAATTCAAAGCACCAGCGAGGTGTAAGTAACCATCTGTACACAACATTGCCACTAATAACACGCGTGTTCGTAGACAATACAAAAGAACTGTGCCTATGAAACCATGCCGCTAGCTGGACTCGGAGAAGACTCGATCCCACTCTCGCTATTGCTGCTCGAACGACGTGACCTCGGCGCCGTAAGTCCTGTTTTCATCATTTCACTTAGAACCAACTGAGAAGCACACCACACCGCAGTTCGACAGCCCCGTGTCTTCAGCGCCAGTTCTCGCACAGCTGAGATAAGCGAAATTATATCTAGAAAATATAATACAATTATGCATCAACAGTACAGTATTTCTGTTCTTTACTGGTATGATTTTAATTGGGATTTCGTTCGAATGACAAACGGCTGCTTACTTACAATGTTCATGTGGTTACAATGAACATAGTCAATCGACTTCCGAAAAGCCTTGACTATACAGCCTCGTTTTCGGGTTTGAGATATCGGCTTTAGAGTCCTTTAACTTGTCACCGATGACCTAAATGATCAACAGCTTACTCAACTCCATGATTATATAATATTGACTAATGTAACTCTATGATTTCGTAAATGTGTCCATCCGTACCAAGATAAAGGACCCAATATCGCAAATGACGAAAACGAGGCTCTATAATAGCTAAGGCTGAGTACTTTCCGGAAGGGTGTATTGGAGAAGAGAGGCGAAGAGACTTTCCTGCATATTTCTCACAGTCATATTGGGACTTTTCCGCGGTCTCCGTGCAGTGCTACTCAATTCTAAATCATTATTAATGGTTCAAATATTTACAGTACCTTGAAATTAAATTCACTTGCATTAGAATGAGTTTGATCATTACTTTCTTTTGTTCTTGGTTTTAGGGCTAATCTCGATCGCTCAATTGGTAGATCATTGACCAGGTTCGCTCAATATGTAAGCACAATATAAACTGCAGTTTATAGGTTTAAGCTCGAAAAAAACATTTACAGTACCTCTTCCATCAGGTGAACGCATTGCAGTCACATTCTTGTTTCTTGCAGTTGATCCACTGATCTCATCCTTACGAGACGACTGCAACCGACGAATACACGCCATCATTTCATCTACACTTTCACTGATGTTTATATTGAGGGGCGAATGTCTGATACGTTCTATCCTTCCAACAAGAGCCTCCACCTTACAATAATAAGAACAGAGTCAGGGACACAGGGTATCAAAGTAATGTAAAAAAGTGGAAAGCCATAGCTGGCTTAAAGTGATCAAACAGCATTTTGTTGGGTGCTTTTAGCATTATACGGCGGTGCTTTCGGCATTATACGCGGTGCTTTCACCATTTATATACGCGGTGCTTTTGTAATTATACGCAGTGGTTCCAGCATTATACGTGGTGCTTTTAACATTATACGCGATCACCGATGCTTTCATTCAACATTATTTCCATATTCTTTCCATGACATGTATATGATTTAACGATTGCTTAAATTTGGTATGTGGTTGACAAATGCTTTTTGCCTCTGGTCTGCAATGCAAATGACATGCTTTAAAAAGGTTTATTTATACACTTTGTCATAGTAATAAATCTGTGTATATATGAATATAACGCAGGGAATGCGCCAAGCAGTATAAACGCGGCTGAAATACGATATTAAAATCTTGAATGTGCCGTATGATTTAATTATGTTTTAGGATTTACAAATGCTTTGTCATTTGTATTTATACTTGTACTGCATCACAAGGCAGTGCGTAAGTGAACAAATTCCACATGTGAGATTGTCTTGTATATATTTTTGCTTTCTTTGATAAACATTATTAATAAACACGCAAATTTTAATTAGTGAGACGCACAGTCGCACATGTAAAATGTCACCTTCATGTCATTGTCATTGCCCTTTAACCCCTGGTCTAACTGGCCGTTTTTGAAAATGTTGATGTATAAATTATGGATGATTCCCATTCATTACAAATAGTTCTTATTCTTGTTCTTTAAAATACTAAAGATTTGGGAACAATGCTACACCAAGGCAGCTTTTACTACCCTGTGGGTAAACTAGTTTAACAATAGACCTTATGCATAATGACGTCACAAGGCTTGATGCCCGAGAGGAATGCTGGTCTTAATAGTCATCGCCCGGGAAAATTAAACAATTCAAAATGGCCACTATATATCGAAATTTTCCTGGGCGATGACTACTGAGACCAGCATTCCTCGCGGGCATCAAGCCTTGTGACGTCATTATGCATAAGGTATATTGGTGGGATTCACTCAGCGTTACGGGGTAGGATATGGTAGGATATGGTAGTCAAGTTCAGAAATATTGATAGCTATACAAAGCCAATAAATCTCAGAAATCTTAAGTATAGTGCAAAGTTTCAAGAAGCTATAGAAAAACCAAAAGTGTTTTATCAGATGGAAAAAAGCAAAATTGAATAAAAATTTCCGAAAAAAAACTAAATTTTCTTCTAAAACGGACGCACCTGACGATAAAGCTATACACAAAATGTACAACAACACAGTATATCGCACCACATGTTGATATACATTTTGTAAAAGTTAAACAAGAGTTACCTTAGCATGCTCCTTTTGCACATCAACTAAAAGTTTATCAACACGCGATGGACTGTGATGTAATCGCCCAGTAGATACATTCACACCACCTGATGACACCCTTCTTGTTGGCCAGAATTTGCTGATATCTATCTCTGCCTAATTAATAGAATACAAAACGGTTTAACAGAAATAACTATGACGTTGTGACTGATGAATACGAAGGTAAAGGAGAGCAGAATTACAATTACAGAACCTATAAGGGTACATACATACAGTTCATACAGTATATTAGCTTACGACCTCCTCGAGATAAGTTAGGTTTAATACCGGCTATCTTCGCATGATATCTTTATTATACTTAATCTAAACTGTGCAACTTTTTTAAACTGGATAGGTTTGTCAGTTCTAATCTCTAGAGATCCAGCATGGGCTTCGTCTTTCTAGTCCAGTGCAGGAAACCGGAGTGTACTACTGCACTTGGAGAAAACCTGCGCTGTTTGACATACAAACTCAATCGTATTTCTAATTGGAAGAGTTAAACTAGAAAAATTCACCTCGTATCCAGTACACCTAGGAAACGAACCAGAATCGCGGAGGTTAAAGCCATACCGCACGCAACTAATGTGCCACCAACATGCGCTGACCTCGTTAACTAAGTATATGCGATACACAGCAGGTTTGCTCGTGAGAACAAACTTAATCTCAACTCACCTTACGCCGTTCTTTTTCAAGATATCTCAGCTGCTCGTAACACTGATCGATCCTCAAATGCAATTCATTGCTTAGATTTTGTTTGGCATACGAAGAACCCGTCAGGCTTTCCTTGCCGCGACCAATCCACGAATCATCATCAGATTTACAAGAAATTGACCTTTGAAAGGGTATGGGCTTGGTTTGATAATCCACAAGTTCACTTCCCTTCCATGAGCTGCAGCACCCGTTCTTTGGTATTTGGGTTTCCACTTCACTTTTTTCATAATCTTTGCCCACCTGTCCATTCTGGGGCCACGAACCACTTAGGCATACAAGACCTACAGGTGGATGTGCTGGTGAAACCCTGCTGTAGTCAAATGATCCTGCATGGTCTACGAGGTCTCCACGACGAGTGTTTTCTGAGTCACTCAAATGCGTCCAATCATCATGAACAGTGGGAGAGCAATACTGTGGACCAAAGAACCCACCATTACCAAGACTTTCTACTGAGGATGACATTTGTGGTGAGGGAAGACTGCCATAACCATTCATAAAGGGCGTACCGTTCTCACTTCGTCCCAAATATGTTCCAGGAGATGATGTTGAGGATTGGATGAGCCAGCCATGTGTCGGGACAGGGCTGGGAGACGTGATTGGGATGTTCATGGAATTGTTGTGATTCACATCAGCATGGTTTTGCCAGATATGTTCGCCGGGGAAAGATGAAGATTGTTGTTCTGGCTTGAGAACAGATTCTGGAGAAGGTTGAGGGCTTGGAGATAACCAAGATAAAGCAACTTCACCAGGCCTGGAAAATACAGGAAACAACATACAGTAAGGCACACAAAGAACAGTTACGTTAACTTTACTCGTCTTTAATTACCAGCATTGTACATTTAGCAGGGTTCGTTGTCTCCAAAACCAAAAATATTTAAGACTTTCAAAGATTTTTGCTGCCTATTTTCAAAGACTTTTTTCAAAGACGTTTGAGAGCAATCAGCTGTCGAAAAATTGCAGGCGTAAGCAACATTTTTACCCAATAATTAGTCCCGTCAAATCACATCCTGAAATATGCCTTTTCGTCGATATTTGCGAAAATATTGCTTCAATCAATCTATTTTATTAGCTAGGAAATCGTATAATCAAACACTAAAGAATTTAAAGACTTTTAAAGACCTTAAAAACATGCATTCAAATTTAAAGACTTTCAAGGATTTCAAAGACCGCTACGAACCCTGTTTAATAGGCACTTTAATATTGTAAAAAAAGTGGATGTTGATGCCCTGAGAAAGATTAATTCCCTAGCGAAACTTTGTTACGGTCAACGTTACCTGGAAGATACAGATGTTTCACGCGATGGCTCTTGTGGCTTTACTAGCTAGTTTTTCTGACGCGAATCAACATCGACGATTTTCTATGACATTATACTAACACTGCGATTAACACAGAAACTCCAAGTACTACTACGAGTGCTACATTGCGCAGTATAGGTTTATTTAGAAAATCTAAACATATACAGTGCAAACTTACTACCTAATTTTAGGTTTTCCCATCCGTAATAATTTGTTCAATCCACATATTTACTCAAAGATCATTTGAAATTAACTCAAATCATAATTTTAGTCAATGTGGTCTTTTATGATTTTATTATAATTACCGGTATTACCTCGGTATGTCGCTTAAATTTGTGCAGTGCATGTATGAACACGTGTGTATAATTTAGCAGCAATCTCAAACATGAGAAAGATAGAATGAAGACAAATAGAATTTGGCAACACACCTCATCGAAGGATCGACCGTGAGTGGTACGAATGTCTCTGCAGGAGGATTGTTGCCTTCTTCAAGGTTAAAAATGGTCTCATCATCAAGAACCTTTGAAAGCAAGTGTAACGCAATGTGTTGTGAAGGATGACCAGCCAGACCAGTGATACTCTCGCCATTCACTATTTGTCCATCCATAAGGTTCTTTGTGATTTCCTGCTCACTTGCTTTACCACCTGCATCCTTCATTTAAATATAAAATATATATTAATTTATTTAGTGTACAAACGATAACAACAAGTATAACGGTAGAAAAATGGAGGAGCAATGGTTACCTCAGTAAACTGTAAGACAAAAAAGAGACGAAGACAGAAAAGAGAAGGGCAACCTCGTTCCCAGGCTCTTTGCTCTTGTGAAGCAAAGACCCTGGTCGGGGCTGGTCACGTGACCCCGCAGATTCTGCGTGGTAAATTGAATTGATCTCAGGGAGGGGTGGTAGAGGAGTCTGTTTGCTACGTTTCGAATTTTATGTGTTATAGTTTCGGGTGATAAAAATGTAATTTGCAACAAGAAATCGTGAAAGGAATAGTTTTAAATTCGTATTCATCATGACACAACTTCCTGCTATACTGAATGTCATCAATAATAAGTGTTGCGGTACATTTCAAGCGACAAGCTGGATCATATTTCACTTCCAAGGACTCCACACGCGCCTGGCTTGCGAAGTTGAGCACGCATCGCCGTAGAAACATATACATACGGTATAAGTCTTCCCAATTCTGTACAGACTGACGATCAAACGATACTAAATTAAATGAACGATATGGTTGTTTAATGTTTATTGTTGAAGTGTATCCTGTCCGATATTCAACAAAGCCAAAGGATTTATTTTATAATGGAAGATTTCCCAAACATCGCTAACTGTGTGTGTATAAAACAATAGTGCTATCTTGACTGTGAAAGCACAGGATTAAAACCGTTATGGACTGTAAAATTCCTTTCATTTACATTGCTGAAACTCAACGATCAAGAATGATTATGTCGAAGACTCGAAGTATAGCTATCTGTCATCAGACGAACACCAAGACCACTGTGCGTTTCCGTGCGTGCGGTACATATAACTTGAATATTTAGAGTGTCCCTATATGTCGTGTGTCGTGGGTTAAAAGTCGTGTGTCGTGGGTAAAGTCGTGGGTAAAGTCGTGGGTAAAGTCGTGGGTCATAAAATGTGCTAAAAACGCATTTTTTCATATTTTTATTTTTAATATTTTTTTCGTACTTTTTCATTTTATGCGCTAGATAAATACAGGAAAATTTAACGCAACAAATCTTCAGTAATAAAACAATTTCTTATCTTGCTGTTATCTATAGTATAACAAGTATAAATGTTTCCGTTTCGTATAGTCTAATAAGTCTATAAATGTATTGTTTGATGATAAAATGTCCCCTAAGTTATAGGCTTATAGGATATTAGGATATAGGTTTATCAGCTTTGGAAGTGTAATAGTCCCTATCATGAACATCGCGAATAACTATGTCGATTGCATATGTCTGATGCAAACATATTGAGCTATAGCCTAAACTCTACGTGGCCAACGCTCGAGCCTCAAATTTTGCTATTTTATCTCCTAGACCTAGTATACCTTTAAAAGTAGACAAACATTTCATGTGTATGTGGCGTTCGGAAATATTCCATAAATTGCTACGATTTGGGATTTCGCGATTGAAAGCGAAATGATTTGTGCGATGTCGCCATGTCGGGCTATTTGCCAACCGTGCGCGCTAGCCGCTGTTGTTTTGACAGAATATGATACCTCTACACTTTTCAGCCGTAATCAATAATGCGCGGATTGTAATCATATACATATCGTTTAATTTAGCTTCAAAAACTTATTTTGTTAAATGTAAAATGCGCAGCATGTTGCGTACATTAATATCAAAGAAAAAAGGTTGACTTTATTAGACTGAAATAAGCAAGATTTCCCGTTACATATACATGATTTATGATTTATACCGAGGCGGCTTTGCATGTGGTCTGCCTCTGGCAACTATGACACCATTGCGCTCCGCGGGAACCAACACGAATAACATGTTTTTTTTATCAAGTTTTTGAAGCTAATTTAAACGATATGTATATGATTACAATGCGCGCTGAAAATTACGGATGAAAAGTGTAGAGGTATCATATTCTGTCGAAATAACAGCGGCTAGCGCGCTCGGTTGGCAATTAGCCCGACATCGCACAAATCATTTCGGTTTTCAATCGGGAAATCCCAAATCGTAGCAATTTATGGAATACTTCCGAACGCCACATACACATGAAATGTTTGTCGACCTTTAAGGGCCGCGAACATATACTAGGTCTGGGAGATAAAATAGCAAAATTTGAGGCTCGAGCGTTGGCCACTAATTATACAGGCACTGCAGCGTAAAATTTATAGCTCAATAGACAATATGTTTGTATCAGACATATGCAATCGACATAGTTATTCGCGACGTTCATGATAGGGACTATAACACTTCCAAAGCTAACTGATAAACCTATATCCTATAGCTAATTAAGACATTTTATCATCAACTTATATTCTATAGGCTTATTAGACTATACGAAACGGAAACAAAATCAAACATTTACTTGTTATACTATAGATAACAGCAAGATAAGAAATTATTTTATTACTGGAGATTTGTTGCGTTAAATTTTCCTGTATTTATCTAATGCATAAATGGAAAAAGTACGAAAAAAATATTAAAAATAAAAATAATATCTTCGTGAAAAAATGCGTTTTTAGCACATTTTATGACCCACGACACTCATTATAACCTTGGCATTTTGGCAAAGAGTAAAATAATACTGTACATACAAATCAGAAAGATATACAGTATCTCCGGTGCTTTAATTATACTTGGTTTAGTCTACAGTATATATTATTAATTATATGATCGTATATATACAGTTTTACTTCAAATGTATAAAATAAATAGTACACACTTGCACATCTGGTTCCCAGAAGGCTTGGGATAAGTATCATATTGTGAAATAATGTGATATAACTATAGTATCTGGTGTTCCATCAAATTTCCACTGTGTTTTATGTCAGTATTGTATTCTGGCTTGAAAATTTTTCTTTTAGGATAGCGAATGTTTCAAGAGAACTGGTAGCAGTTTCCAACATTCTTCAGGGACATAATCATCAATCCATTATACATTAATAATTATAATTGATAACCTCCTCATGATCACCAAAGTAATGAGCAAAATTTCACAGGTGACATAGTCATAGAGAATATGTTGTGTAGGTCCAACATTACCGAATCATCAACATGCAGCACAGTATAAATAAGGGGCCACGTCCATATTCATGTTGCCACAAATAACGTCGAATCGACGTTATTATTTCACCCACCCCACCCCACCCCACCCCAGATAACGTCGATCGGATCGATATTCAGTCGTATTTTGATCGATAGACTCATGTACTTTAAGACTATTGTACTTTACTACCGTCATTGGCTGCATGGGATTGTATTTTGATACAGTATTTAAATAGTGATTTGGTTTTCGCCGGAGTGGCAATAAACAATACAATCAAGATATAGCCGTTCTCAAAATTAAAATGTCCATAATACATGTCATATTCTTGTTGGTAGAAGTTGACAACCATGCTAAATTATAAAACAATCTTTTAACGGTGACCTTGTTTACATGATATGTCTACTGACAGCCTATGAAATTAGAAAAGTTATGCGCCTGTGGAGGTTCCGTTGAACTTAGCTTTCAGCCTTCTGCATATAGCCTATATAAGCGTAAAAAATTTGGAAGTATAGAAGAAACAGAATAGCATGTTATAATCTTGCCAGTTTAAAGCTTTCAAATGTCTTGGTGACCTCATAGCCTTAATTATAGATTCAATCTGATTCGTTCTTTCGTTGTTGTTGCACCAACAAAAATACATTAGTTCATAAAGAGTATAAGTCCAGACTACAACGCAAACATGAAAAACACAGTACAATTCGGTGAAAATTTAGCGAAATTGCCAGAAATATTATTTGCCCACTCATCACGATAGGTCCACTGAGCTACTATATTACTATAGTATAGCTCAGTGTATAGGTCACTGAAGCATACTTGCAAAATCACCCATAATATCCATAAAATACATCGATGACTCGATGTACCTGTGAAATGTTCATTTTGTGACATCCTAAAGACAGACAATTATAGGATTTTAAAGCTCCCTCTGGCTACGCCCGACGGAGCAATGAATGGTATTTGGTAACCTGAAGTTCAGGCCCTAATCACAGAATAGGGCCTGACCATAGTTAATAGAAAGGCCTGACACAAAACCTATCTAAAGTGTGAGATTCCCGTCCACCTGGTGGACGGGAAATCTGATTGGTTGATCAGCATCGTGAAGGATTTTGATTGGTTGCAAGTTTACATAAACAACAGTTTTAAAAATAGCTCGGTCAAGGCGACAATTTATATAAAGGTCAAACG